TTGGTAATATTTTGATGAAGATTTTATTACTTTATTCATCAGGGACATTGGCTTATAATTTTCTTTCTTTGTAATATCTTTATCTGGTTTTGGAATTAGGATAATACTCGCCTCATAAAATGAGTTTGGGAGGCTCCCCTTCTCTTGAATTTTATGTAATAGTTTGAGGACAGGTGTTAGTTCTTCTCAGAATGTTTGGTAAAATTACCAGTTGTGCCATCTAGTCTAGGTGGATTGCTTATTGGGAGTTTTTTGATTACTGTTTTAATTTCATTAGGTGTAATCTGTCTATTCAGATTCTCTGATTCTTCCTGATTTATTTTTGGAAGACTGTATCTTTCTAGGAATTTATCCATTTCATCAAGGTTGTCCAGTTTGTTGGCATATAATTGTTCATAATATTTTCTTAGAATCCTTTGTATTTCTTTGTTGTCAATTGTTATTTCTCCTCTTTCATTTTTTATTTTATTTGGGTCCTTTCTCTCTTTTTCTTTGAGTCTGGTTAAAGGTTTGTCAATCTTGTTTATCTTTTCAAAGAACCAGTTCTTGGATTCATTGATCTTTTGTATCATTTTTTTAGACTCTATTTCATTTATTTCTGCTCTGATCTTTATTATTTCCTTCCCTCTACTCACTTTGGGCTTGTTTGTTATTCTTTGTCAAATTCCTTTAGGTGTGAAGTAAGATTGTTTATTCCAGCTTTTCCTTGTTGGTTTTTTTTGTTTGTTTGTTTTTGTTTTCTTGAGATAAGCCTGTAAAGCTACGAATTTCCCTCTTTGGATTGCTTTCCCAGTGTCCCACAGATTTTGGGTTGTTGTTTTCTCATTTTCATTTGCTTCAAGGTATCTTTTGATTTCTCCCTTGATTTCTTTGTTGACTTATTCATTGTTTAGTAACAAGTTATATAGCGTCTGTGTCTTTGTGTATTTTTCAGTGTTCTTGTGATTGATTTCTAGTTTCATAGCATGTGTCAGAGAAAATGTTTGTTATGATTTCAACCTTCTTAAATTTATGGAGAGTTGTTTTGTTTCCTAACATGTGGTCTGTCCTCAAACATGTTCCCCATGCATTTGAAAAGTATGTATGTTTTGCTGCTTCAGGGTTCAATTCTCCCAATATATCAATTAATCTATTTGACCTTATATGTCATTTAATGCCGCTGTCTCCTTGTGATTTTCTTCCTAAATGGTCTATCCCTTGAAGTCAATGGGATGTTAAAATCTCCAACTATAATTGTATTTCTGTTGATCTCTCCCTTTATCAAGATTTGCTTTACATGTTTTAGATGCTCCTATGTTGGATTCATAAATGTTTACTACGGTTATATCCTCTTCTTGAATTGTTCTTGTTGTCCTTATATAGTGTCCTTCTTTGTCTCTTATTACATCTTTGGTTTTAAAGTCTATTTTGTCAGATATAAGTGCTGCTACCTCTCAGCTTTTTTTCTTTCCCATTTTCATGAAATATATTTTCCCCACCCTTTACTTTTAGTCTGTGTGTATCTTTCAATTTGAGATGGGTCTTCTGGAGGCACCATATATTTAGGTCTTGTTTTTTTATCCATTCAGTTACCCTATGCCTTTTGGCCATTTACATTTAAAGTGATGATTGATAGATACATATGTAGTGCCATTTTATTGTTAGACTGTTTTCCTCTGTTTTCTTTTTTCTTTCTCTCTTTTTTTTTTCTTCTTCTTCTTCAAGCAAGCCCTTTAATATTTGTTGCAATACTGGTTTGGTGTTAACAAATTCCTTTAGCTTTTTCTTGTCTGGGAAGCTCCTTATTTCTTCTTCAATTTTAAATGGTAGCCTTGCTGGGTAAAGTAGCTGTCGTTGTAGGTCCTTGTTTTTCATCACCTTGAATGTCATGACATTCCTTTTTGGGTTGAAATGCTTCTGTTGAGTAATCAGATGCCATTTTAATTTGTGCTCCCTTGTAGGTTACTACCTGCTTTTCTCTTGTAGCTTTTAGGATTCTCTTCTTGTGTTTAGGCCTTGTCATGTTACTTGTGATGTGGCTCAGTGGAGGCCTCTTTGAGTCCAACTTGTTTGGGACTCTCTGTATTTCCTGCGATTATGTGACTCTTTCCTCCACCAGATTAAGGAAGTTTACAGTCATTTCTTCAAATAGGTTCTTGACCCTTTCTCATTCTCTTGTCATTCTGGTATTTCCATGATACGGATATTGTTAGGCTTTATAAGTCCAAAATGTTTCTTAAGCTCTTCTCATTTTTTTTTTTAATTCTTTTTTCTTTTTGCTGCTCTGCCTGGGAGTTTTTTTCCATCTTATCTTCCAAAACATTGGTTCCATCCTCTGCTTCATCTAACCTACTGTTTATTCCTTATAGTGTATTATTTATTTCAGATGTTGCATTCTTTATTTCTGACTGGTCCTTTTTTATGGTTTCTATGTCTTTTTTCATGCTATTGAGTATCCTTATAATCATTACTCTAAATTCCCTATTTGATAAATTGCTGGCCTCCTTTCATCTAGTTCTTCTGTAGAATTCTCTCATTCTTTCATTTGGGGTCTGTTTCTTTGTCTTCTCATTTTGGCTGCTTCTTTGCATTTTCTACCTTAGCTGCTAAAGGGATCAATTGCTAATCTAATCAAGCTTAATCAGCCACCAGGTTTAAGCACCACAGGGTGGGGCAGAGTAATTCTTGTGGGAGGGGCTGTTGCTTCCACTCAGGCTGATGCCATTCCGAAAGGAGTGCTCTGCCTGAGAGAGATGGATTCTGCATTATGGGGAATGACTTAGCACATGTATCTTGGTGGCTGTTCCTTCAGTTCTCTCCCCTGAGCTACCAGCCCCTGACTTTCTTCAAGCATCTCTAGTCCACTCTGCCCTTCCTCTGCTGGAGCCCAGGGTAGGTGGCTGCAAATGGAATTTTGTGTTTTGGCTCTTTAAGAGGTTCTCTGCATCTGTAGTGGTTTCTCCCTGGCAAACAGAAACCCTGCTGCTTTTCACAGATGGATGTCATCGGGGTTCCTCTCCAGCTCTGCTGTGGGAGCCCAGCCTGCCCTCTAGCATCTCCATACTCCCTACCAGTCACGTTGTGAAGTGGTTTGTTCTGCCTGTCCTTGATTATAAGGCTTCTCTCTAGCTCATATTCAGTTGGTTATTCCAGATAATTTCTCTATAGTTTAGCTGTAATTCCAGATTGGTCCTGGGAGGAAGTTATTGTAGCTCCCACTTACCCATCACCATCTTGGATCTCCCTATAATTTCTTTAATGCATATATTTTAATCACTAGATATTGAACTTGATAAAATTTAAATAGTAGCCTAATAAGCAGATGAAACTCTCACTCTACCTGCATGTTTTTTTTTTAATTATGTGAAATGAAATGTAAAATAAGGCACAGTTTAAAATTTCTCTCTTCTTAACTAATTGCAAAGAAGGATCCATGTGTTAGAAGAATCGTACAATATTACCAGAAGAAGCCATTCATTGTTTTCAGTCTTTCTATGAGCTTTGTTTATTTGTAAACTATTTATTATATATTCTTGTTATATTTCATGTTTGCCTTGTAATAATTTTTGAAAATAAAGTATTTTTGAATTTAAAAATATTCTTGCCCTTTATATAATATCACATGATCGGGGTGAAAATGAATCCTGTTAGCTTAGTCAGCTGTAAAACTAGGGTAGTATAATGGAAACTTAAATTAAAAAGACCTTTCTTTTTCCTACTCTTGCATGAGATGAATTCATATATGAATTATATAGGTACTTGCAGTAAGAGAGTAGCTTATTGATACTTTTATTCTAAAGTATTAACCCAATTGTTATTTATCTCTCACTATTGTTTTACACAATTTCATATATAATTTATATATAACTTCATATATAATTTAGGTGTATATTTTACATTTTTTAGTTAACTGAGTTAAACACTATAAATATTTTTTATGGCAAAAGACTTCCTTAAACAATTATAAACTACTAAAATGACAATGGCTTAATTAAATAATTGAAGCTCTATTAAGAAAGCATATTTTCAATTTAGATTGCTCATAGCATAGCAGCAAGTTTTAGCAAGTATTTGTAGTAGATTAGTGGAAACATGGAACTTTTAAGATTTAATCTTATTAATGGTTTTTATGTTAACTGGAGGTCTTAGAATTGAATATGACATATTTGTCATGCATTCATTTAATGTCTTTACCAAATTTCTATATGTTAATAAAGTAAATAAGTACTTAATGTTTACATTCTGCAAGATGTGATGTCAGTTAAGATGTGCATGGAGAAGGAACGGGGCGTGGTGAACTTAGGAAATTTGTGGCAGTTTCTAGTTGATAGACTAGAGTTTGTAAATCATTTATAGGCCCAAATTCCGATGATAGATATATTTTGTTCAGTCGGCACTGTTTACAAAAATACTACTTACTATCATTTAAAATTGGGAGCTTTCATGTAAAGATTCAGATTTCTGACCTCATCTTTACATATTTAAAATCTGACAACTCTGGGTTGGAATTACTCATTTCCACAGTGAACAGTTAACTGGAACTGAGTAGCATTTGCTCCTTGTGGAGAAGGCCTGCCTCAAGTTTTCTGCAGCACCACCCAGACAACCTCATTCAAGTTACCTGCCAGGTTTAACAGACCCTCCTCACTAGGAAGAGGAAATAATTAGCAAAGCAATGAGAGAAACCACAGTTGGCACTGTGCTTTCATTTAACAGGCACTAAGCATTTGAGGAAGAGAGGAAAACAAACTAGGATGTAAGAGATGCGAAGTGGGATAGAACCCCTGCTTCCAATTTCAACAGTTATTCATTTAATTGCCCAAGCTTTTTTTTTTTTTTTTTTTAATGCTCTGTATAAGTAGGCATTGAATATTATGATAGCAGGGATGACTTTGCTCATTTACCACAACTCTACCCCCAACTACTGTCCTTTTGAACTACCTCATGTAAATGGTTTTCTTGATTCAAACAGTCTGACACATTGTTAAAATGCAAATCTTCTTTGTTTTATTTTTACAAAGGCTGAAGAAATAACTTTAACAATCGGCCAAGCATTTAACCTGGCATACAGGAAATTTCTAGAATCTGGAGGAAAAGATGTTGAAACAAGAAAACAGATTGCAGGGTTACAGAAAAGAGTGAGTAAACTAAACTTGTTTCATATTCATATGATGTAAGGACAGGGAAACTTGCATATCATCAAACAATTTAGAAGGCCTGCCATTCAATTTCCCCCACACTGATTGGAACTGCTTTCACTGTGTTCCTATAACTTTTCATTACTGATCCCCTGCACAGTTTTTAACCATTTTATATTGAATTCCCACAAGAACTTAGTGTTCTCATGTGACTTTGCTTCACTTCCTGATGCTTCTCATGGGGATCAGAGCAGCAGAAGCAGCAGATGCTGGGTAAGTGGTTTCCCATGCAGATCAGATTCCTTTGTAATTAAATTACACCCTTTCTCTATTCTCTTCAAAATCATCATGAGCAAGTTTCACTGTCTTGTGGTTATACTCCAAGATTATGGGTACAGATTGCACAGTGCAACAAGAAACACAGAGATGAGGCACTAGGAACATGAATTTTGCACACAAGTAAAAGTATTTTATAAATTTCCAGCGACTAAGAATTCTCCGTTTCCCAGACTTTCACAAATAATACATTAAAGTTGTAAATAAGAAATCCCTTTCATTAATGCAGTCATTATAACAGCCAATATTTTCCAAGAACAAATTTCTGAAGATTATTCAATAACCATTTGCTTTTTTAGATTCAAGACTTAGAAACAGAAAATATGGAACTTAAAAACAAAGTACAAGATTTGGAAAACCAGTTAAGAATAACCCAGGTATCAACATCTCCTGTAAGTATATGGGATATGTGCATGTTTTCCTTGGAAATCAGATTTCTTAGAGATAAAATATCTCTGGATCTTCAGCTCTATAATATTTCCAGTAATACTCTGCGATCACTAATTTAAAACTACATATGGGTAGAAATAAAAAGCACTAAACAAGGTTAAAATTGCCTAGGTAGCTCAAATCAGAGTTGTTTTTCCATGCTGTTCTTTTGACTTCTTTTTTTCTAGAATAATTCAGCCCAAAATTCTTTTTTTTTTTTTTTTTTTTTTGTGGCATGTTTGTTTTCTTCCTATTGATTACTATTTACTGAGGTCAGCCTTAGCGACCTAAGTCCATCTACCCTTGGAGTACTGAACTTCACTCTAGAAACTGGACTGTCAACAAGACCAAATTTGGTTTCTTATATTACATAGCAAGGGTTCCCACAGGGAGTGACACAATTATACTTCAGATACTAAAATGAACAGTAGTGTCTGCAGACAACACTCAAATGTTTAAAGTTAAATTGTTTATTTTTGGTTTCTCATTAATTTTAAATCCCTTTCCCAATACCATGTATGATACCATTATTTTGTGATTTTGGCTAGGGGAAATTTTTGGAGGGAGATGGAATTTAAAACAATATTTTTTTAGGCAAAATATATTTAGGATATTTATTGAATCATCTGTACTAATGATATTCTCCATTAAAGTATATATTTTATTTTGTATTTTAAACATATTTAATATATAATTTATAGAATGATACTATGAGGTGAAACACAATTATGGCATTTGCAAACTTTTGAAAAGAATTTTTGTTGCAAATTTTTATTTGTAAGTTCATTTTGGATTAATTGTTAGGCTAACTCAATGAACTTTTTTAGCATATGTGTATATTTTGCCATCCACTACTAGAATATCTCACCAGTTCATCGCCCTGAAGAATGCTTCTTTGAGAAGTTATATTTAGGGTTTCAAAGTTGGTGTACCCTGGAAATAGGTAAAAAATTTTCTTTCCATTACACTCATACTTTCCCATCTCCCATACTGCAGCAGTTGGTGTTTCCATTGCGTGGCATATGGCTTGTGACTGTGGGGCCCATATGGCCCTGGTGAGAGAGGACAGGAATGGCTTATATTCCCATGTACCTTTGTTATGCACAGTGAGGTGTTGGAGCCTCCTCTTCAGGCTCTAGCATATTATAACTTTCTTTCCTATATTTTTCTCTTCACTATGATGACTATTTATTTCTCATCACAATTCCCTTTTTTTTTTTTTTTTCTTTTTGCTTTCCCCATTTTAAGGGAGCAGAAAGCATCAGCTCAGACTTCTTCAACCATTGGTTCCCAGATGATGCAACACCCTTTTGGGTCTTGTTGAAAGTCATATTATAAATCATCTTGTGAAACAAATTAGGAGTATAAGGATAAATGAAGGGGAAGTTTTTCAAGTAGTCTTCATAACATAGTTGTTCTTGGAATTATTGGATATGAAAACTAGCTTTACTGCAGTCTTTGTGTTTACAAATGAGTAAGATAAGATCCTTTGCCATTCGGATACAGATGCAAAGCTTGGTCATTATAGATTCTGTCCCTCAAAGGAGAACTAAGGATATCATGTTAAGGGCTAGTGAATTTGGGAGGAGCAGAGGGATTTGGGACATGTGGATTAAAAACTCACTCCCCTCTTTTGTTTCCTGAAAGCAGACACTGCCCTGGACAAGCACTAGGGCAACTGAAAAGAAGGTGGGTCAGGTGTAGGGTTATGCATCTGTCTTGGTTATCTCACATGGCTACCAAGTCTGCTTCATAAATGGCAAGAGGCAGGAGGAATGAAAAGATGACACTGACTGAATGGCCATTACAAGCCATGAGCGTGAATGTTGGTATGTAAATAAACACAGACTGTCTGTGAGTATATTCATGTATTCAGCAATTCTCATTTGTAGGGTCAGTATTATTAAAAAAACACAATTATTCAAATAGTTATTAAAATGGATTAACTCTCCTGAATTTGTTTAATAATTTTTAGAGGCATCATGTATATCTTGGTACTAAGCATGTCTCAACAGAATGCTTCCAAGGCTGTAACTAAAAGATTGAATTAAAAAAGAAATTATTTTCTCTAAAACATTCTTTTCCACTTAAAACACATGTAGAAAATTTATTGCATCATTGATCATTGTGCAATTAAATTGAGTTACAAATTTATAGTCTACTTATACTCTTTTGTCACTATAATATATTTTTCTGTATTTTTTCTTTATTTTAACTCTTAAAAAGATACTTGTCTCATAACTTCTCAGGCTCCAAAGTCTTATTACATGATTGTTGAAATTGCTGATACACTGGAAGATGTACATCTTCTTTAAGATAAAAATGGAATGCATTTGATTCTTAAAAGAAAATGAACTCAACATTTTTGAATTTTTAAAAGATATGTGATTAACTTAAATCATTTTGAAAATATTGTTATAGGTAGATATTAACAGGTTTTTAAAATTTTGTGAAGACAGTTTTATCAAATATTTTTGCCTTTCATTTTCAATTTTAGTTATGTAGCTGTGAAATGTATTAATGTAAATAAATGCATCTATATTTATTTCACATCTGTTATAATGAGCTCCCAATTTTCTGTTATTTAAAATAAAATAAATTACCTAAAATTATTTAATAAGTATGAACTGTTGTTGACATGATTATAAAAATCCATTTTTCTGAAGATTTGTTAATGATTCAAACTATTAAAATTTAATTTCAAAAACAATAAAAATTATAAATAATTAAAATATAAATTTAAATATAGGTACCCCATTGTTAAGAAGCTTGCAATGGGTCTGCAATAGAGCAAATTTCTGTTGAGTTAGAAATGTTTTACATCTATTCTTAGGAAATTTGAGCATTAGTTTTACAGGACACACAAACAAGACATCAAGCATCTCAGAATGCTAGCAGGTCTTGCAAAATTAATGCATAGTAAATGCCTATTGGGCTTATAACTTTGGAAATGAGACTCTGGAGGTTTTGTTTGTTTGCTTGCTTGTTTTGCTCTCAGAGGACTGAGGAGTAGAATGCTTCAAAATTTCTAGAGTCCTCAGCAGTTTGTTTAAAAGATTAGAGGCAGTGATTAATACATTAATTGAAGAAGCATTGAAGTGAACTATGAATCCCATCACACATTTACATTAAACTATAGATGTGTTTGGTATTTACAGTTAATTTGGCATCAGATTCTCCATGAGCTTTCAGTGTGTTATGCTAAGATGAACCCTTCAGACAGGTGACCCTTCGCCAATGACTAGCCCTCAATCCAATGGGAGCCAGATTTTCCAAAGTCGCACATAAGTAATTTTTTTGCCATGTAAAACACTCCAATTCAAAAATGATTTTCTAAAAGTGATTTAAACATTATAATTTGGTTCATAAAAATAAACACATAAACAATAATTTTATGAAGTATCTGGATTGCTAGTCAAGTACAATATAGTCCACATCAAGCAGTTGCTAGTAAAAATAAAGATTTATTTTTAATGTTAGCTTTAAAATAATGTCTTTGGGAAGAGGGGGAAAAAGAGAACAAAGTAGGAATGGAATTTTGGGGGGTTTGGGCATATGTTAAAAGTAATGTAAGAAGTTAATATAATATAAATTACTGGTATGGATGTTGTTCTTAGAGTGTGTGATGAAATATCAGATAAAGTCAGTTATGGAAAGCACGAGAAAAATTAAAAGAAACATTTTTGTAAAATTTTATCAGATAACTAATAAATCACAAGCCATTTTTTCCTAGCAAGAGGTTCAACATTAAAGTTGAATTTCTGTAACATAGAACAATGGTTTAAAGGAATAAGAAAAATTTCTTCTAACGAAAAATTTCTATCTTATAGATACTGGTTGTTTTATTATATATTAAATCATATATTAAAATGTGAGGCCTGTTGAGTAGAATGCATTTCTCCACTCTCCTCAGAGACGCCCTAAGGAACGGTTGCTGTCAGTCATCTATCTATGTGACTGTCAGTGTGTCAGTTATATATGTCAGTGTGAATTGGTCATGGAAGCCCTTTCTAAGCCAGTGGCATTTGGATTGAGAAACAAATGATAAAAAACCAATGCAAAGGGCTGAAACAGTAACAAGACCTTTAGCCTGGAAGAGCTAATAGTTGGAATGACATTGAAGAGAGAGTCAGAGTCTAGATTTTCCAGGGCCCTGTGGATAAACGTTTTGTTTTGTTGTTTGTTTAATTGCAGTGAGTGAGCAATCACTCAAAGTTTTTATACAGAATTAGGGGATCACCTGGCTGCTGCATGCACCATGGGCTATAAAGAAGCCAAAGAGAGATCCCCAAAACTGGCTAGGACACTATAGCAATAAAGTAGGAGAGGGGGAAGAGGACATTGGTCTGGAATTCTGTTAGCTGCGATGATGAGCACAGCACGATTCTTGATACATTTTGGAAGTAGAGTTTGCAGGATTTACTGATGGTTGGCTAGAGGCTGTAACATAGAAGAATGATCAGGGTTGGCCCTTAAGGTTTTATCCTGAGCATGTGAGTAGTCGTGCTGTTTTCTGAAATAGACATAACTTAGGGGAGGTGAATGTTAAAAAATCAATGTTTCACTTTTGCTCATGTTAATTCTGCCTTCTGGACAGATATGTGTAATAGATGTTGAATATACAAATCTGGGATTCAAGAAGGAGGTCTGGCGTCATGGTACCGTACTTGAATGAAAAAAGTTTGCTCTTTTTCTAAGCATCATATAAAGCACTGTTTGTTGTTTTAGTTAATACACATAGTATAAACTTGCTCCATGTGAGTTTAAGGAGTATTTTAGTCCTAGCTAAAAGAAAAGATGACTTTTTTTCCCTCAGTATTAAAATCCAAAGACATTTCTAACTAAAAATGTATACATTTAATATGTATCACAAATCATTTTTACTTAAAACCAATTCCTTAGAGCATGATGAATGAAGACCATTCTATTTTTTAATTTTCTCATGTATGAACTGACATGCTGT